TAGCTTGCCTATTAATGGATGCAGGCAGTAAATATAACTCTGGAGCACAGAGCTCTAGCTCCTACCATGAGCCAGGTGTTATACTAACCAGTTTCCATCTCTAACCTCCAGTTTGTCAACAGGGACTTCCATTGCTACTTCCCCCTCTTGAAAAGTGCCATGCAGAGAAGTGAAGTTGACCTCATTCTCCACTCTGGCGTGCTCCTCATGCTAGACTATGGTCCATAGTGTCACGGACACAAGTAACCCTGTAAGCAGGAGGGGAGAGTGGCCAGCTGAGATCTCTGGTCTAGACCTGCCACTTGAGGATGGTGACTTGAGTGAGCACTTTGGTATGTAAAAAGAAATGGAACCCATTGTCCCCTTGCTCGGGAAGGAAAGGCTATTTGGGACTGGGGAAGGAGGCATGGAGGTCCTTGTTGCTCCTGGTTGCTGCCATCTCCTAGTTATGGTCCCCTCACTGACCTTTACCATGGCTTCTATTCCTGAGCACATCCGCAGGTCTTCACCATACCCTTTTATCCTTCTAAATATTTCCCCCTAGAAATAGCAAGTTATTATGTGACTGTGTGGTGGAGGTGACAGGGCATTGATAGAAGCTTTCTCTTATAGGAGCCACTGAGCTCTTCAGTCAGCACCCCTGAGTCTTCATGTCCCTCTGTGTACATCTGATCAGGACCCCTACTTGCTCTCTCTCAGTGCAGTTCATTCTCCTTCAGTGTCATTGACTTCCCTAAAAGTGATGGTTTGGGAGATGTTGGCAGCAAGTTCCATGCTGTGAGTGGCCGTGGGGGGGGCCAATCAGAAACAGATGGGTAGTCTGATTTTAGACTACCCTCATGCTAGGCCACACTGTCTAGGCCTTCCTCAAGGGAAATCCCCAACTGCTAGGTGGGCCGGCATATCAGAAGCATGTTGGCTTGGCAGCACTCACTCTGTTGGCTCTTGGGGGATTCTGAACCCAGCTTTTTATCTGCTTTTGAAATGATATGGGAGCCGCATTCCTTGACAATTTTCTCTCTCTCTGCAAACTGCGTCTGCATTGTGCCTTATTACTCTTGCAAAATGACAAGAAGACCCTCGAAATATTGCGTAGCGCATGAACCAAATGATAAGGAAAAAAAAATGTAAGGAGCCTGAGCTCAGGCACAAGTACAAGACAGAGGGTGTGTATATCAGTGGTGTGATTTTTCCAGCAGGGAACAATCAGCTGTCACAAGGGCCACTTGGCATGTTGGTTTTGGAACTCAGAGTTCTAATTTGCACTTACAGGTTTTCTTTGCTACCTCCCTGCCTGTCCCCTACAGTGCCCAAAGGCTCCTCCTCCTAACCTCACTTTAAGAGGCCTATCTCAGCCCTGAGCCCTCAGGGAAGAGGAGACTAGTCTGTCTCAGCTAGGCCTCTGAAAGCCAAACAGCTAGCTCCTGTCTCTGGGTTTAACGAGGAAAGCCCCAAGTCAGGAAGGCTGGTGCCAAGGTTTTATGGAGGCCTTGGGCCAAGGGGCCTCACCAGGAATTCAACTAGCTCTGCCTCTCTCCCCTGAGATCTGCAAAAGGCAAATGGCTCTGGTAAAACTAGAGAACAATTTCCCAAGCAGGAGACTGGAGCTTTTAATGAGCCAAGTGAGCCTCTCCTGGTCTGGCAGCCCTGCTAATTAGATCACTGGCGTAAGCAGACTTCTGATGAGGACAAGACAAAGCAAAGTACGGTGGCTCAGAGGGCTCAGCCCTGCCATATTGAACAGGTAGTGAAAAAACTGATCCCCACTGGGGTCTGGGGTTGGAGGTGTTCTGGAAAGTTCTTCCTTTTCAGCCTTTTTCCCTTCTTACTTACATGGGGTCATGCCTCTGATCGCGCTCAGGGCACAGTTTTTTTTTTATTTAAATTAGAAACATGGATGCTTCCCTCTCCCACCCCTCCTCCCTTGTCCCTCCATCAGCCCCCCAACCTCCCATCCAATCCCCATATCATTCCCCAGGGAGGGTGAGGCCCTCCTTGGGGGTAATCTCCAAAGTCTGTCATTTCATTCAGGGCAGGACTTAGGCCCTTCCTCATGTGTCCAGGCTGAGAGAGCATCCATCTATTTGGAATGGGCTCCCATAGCTCATTCATAAACCATGGTAAACACTGATCTACTACAGGGCACAGTTTTTAATTACTTAGGGACAGGCTTGCAAGTGTTACTGAGGAAGGATGGAACATGTTCTCCATTATGTCATCCACCATCTATTCTTGTCTCCCTCTTTTTTAGTGATAGTGTTTTCCTTGACCATGTCAGGCACAAAATGACCTTGTTGGGTACTTACAAGATAATCCAGGAATTATCAAATAATGCTGGAAGCAGTGAGTGCAACTTTGAAAATCCATTCTATTATAGCTAAGAAGGAAAGGGATAGGGTGGAAGGAAAGAATGGAGAAGAACACCACAATGGCCTGGATTTTATAAAACAAATTACGTTTGGTTATAAATCAAAAGATAGCAAGGTGAGAATCACAAAATGATGGATTATTTTGCTTGGTTGAAAGGCTATGAGCCAATGTCAGTGTTTGAAAGATCTGCCCAAATGTTCCCATGTTCCACAGCTGTGGATACAGGAACTCTAACTTAAAGGCCTTCTTTAAACCATGAGACTTTATTAGAAACTACCCTAGATCTTAGAATATAACCTTCCAGAATTGCAAGAGTGTGTTTCTGTTGCTTGAGCCAACCAATCTATGTCTATTTATTTTGTTTTATTTTATCATTTTTGTTATAGCAGTTTGCACTGACTAATACAGGGTCCCAGAGAATGCTGGCATGATTTTACTGTAACCTTTGCTCATAGGGAAATCTTTTGCTTTCTGTCTGTGGTTGTGAGATTCTGAAACTCACGTCATTGATGCTCAACATGTCATGTCTTCCCTTCAAGTGTTCGGCATCTCCACCCTCATCGTACATTCCTGCTGACAGAGGATTCTTTGCTCTTAATATTAGGTATCGTCAGGTGACATAAGATGACTAATCAATCAGGAGAAGGTTGAGTACTGTTGGCATTGTATGGGATCAAGGCTTTCAGAGCCATTGTGTGCTCCTGACTCAACGCTTCTACTTCTGCTGTGACTGTAACAAGTTCCAGATGTGGGCTGTGCTTTGGTCCAAATCCTAGGATGAGGAAGACACATGGAACCAAGTGACACTGCTCTGGCCAGCGCATATGGAAAACAGTTCCCCTCAACGGTGAGAGATGCATGAACTTGTGCTGTTGATGAGGTGTCTGTTAGGACCGCCAGGCAAACTGGGACTCCAGCAACACACACATATCCAGACAACTGCCTTCTCCACTCTTTGTCCCCAGCATTAATTCTGTGAGCCTACCCCCACCTCAACTCCATTTTATTTTTTCATCAGGACGTGTTTTTATTCTTCTCTCAACTTTCAAAGCTTAACTCAGATAGAGGATTTGCAGGGTGTCTCCCACCAGGCCCTTTGGTTCAGCCATTACTGACATCCCTGATCTCTGGTGCGTACCTTCATCACTGTATTCACCAGCAGGAAGAGATAATTGTTGCTTCTGCACATGTCTCCCCAGACAGACGATAGAGAGCAAAGCATCATGCATCACTCACTGTTCACCATAGCATCTAACTATGGGCTAGCAGGGAAGAGTCCTTGACAGAGAGGCATGTCAATGTCATAGACTGAGTGGAGGAAAATGGCACACTGTCAACTGCCACCACTATCAGGGAGGCTAAAGATACTTTGTGCAGTACCAAGTGCACACTCGGCAGCTACTGTTGTTTTGGATTTATATTTGGTGATAATAATGCAGCTAGCTAGATGATGACATTTCAAAATGAATGATAACTGAATGGGAAGTCGCATGAAAATGATCCATGTACTTTCACTTTGCTTGCTACCAGGCAAGATGGTGAGAAAACAGACACCAGGGTTTCTAGCTCTGAGTGCCTCAGAGTGATGGATATTCAAACATTTGTTAGCATGGAAGTGCAGAGAGGAAAAAGTGGAAAGAGTCAACAAAGTGGTGTGATTGTGAAGAGGTGAGTGATGGCTCGGTGGGGAATGGTTCTTACACACACACACACACATACACACACACACCCTTCTACACATAATACACACACATATATACACATATGCACACACACAGGCACATGCACATAATATACACACGTGCAAACACATGCATATATATACATGCATATACACACACCACATACATGTACACATACAAACACACATCCCCAGACACACCTACACAGATTCCACTGAGTTGTGGGATTGCGCAGACTGTAGTTTTCATAGAAGAGCATCTGTGGACAGATGAATTTCTCTGAGGATGTGGACAGATTATGCCAGAGAAAATATTTGGTAGGGAACATTTGATTTGATGTCACTGGTTCATTAGAGAGCATTCAGTGACATCTTGTAAGTTCAGTCTTGTTCATTGAACATTTCTCTGGGACTTGAAGATCATCGGGGAAAGATGGCCTCTGTGTAATCAAGATGGAACGGTGACTTCCCAGTTGTTTCCAGGTCAGTGATTAGACTGAGGCAATCTGCTTTCTGACCAGGGTCCACAGGTTCTCAATGGAGTGATAGACAGAGCCTGTGGATGAGAGTGGTGAGTATCTCTTTCTCTGCCAATGGTGTGTTATTGTACACATAGCTGAGCCCCAGCTTCCCAGCTGGGAGGGGGAAGGAAAGGATGCAATGCCAGTGAAACAGAGCATAGACAGCTGATAGGGTGCTGTGGGCACCCCCAACCCTTGTGCTAGTAAGCCTGGGAGAAGTCAAATCCAAAACTTAAGTGAAAATTGACTGTTGGTAAGCTCACATTAGCTTTTAAGTTCTGGCAGTAAATTCTAACTAAGTGGGTTTTATGTCAAAATGGACCCTTCTAGAATGTCCTCTTGGTTTTATCTTTGTGGTGTCTCTACTGCAGATAGAAAAGGGGACAAATTTGAGGAGATTAGGAGTGAAAACTCTCTCTTCTGCTTCGCGCGCTTAAATAATGTGCTTTATAGAAAGAGCCAAAGAGCCACATGAATTATCGACTAGGTTGGTGTGAACCTGAAGTTTCAGGACCCAAATATGACATTGTTGTTCTCCGTTTTCCCAGGTTGAATATTGAAAAGGCAAGGTCAAAGCGTTTAACCGCAGGGCTTCCACAGCCCACACCAGTTTTGTTCTTGTTTGCACGCTGAGCTCATATCACACTGTGTTCTCTCTGTTTCAAGTCTGCCATGCTCCTGTGTGCTTCTCTCCATTTGTACATCGTGCTTGGTCCTTCCTGCATGTCCGTTCTGATCAGGGTCCACAGGTTTGCAATGGTATGATAGACAGAGTCTCTAGATGTGGGTGGGGAGCATTTCATTTCTTCTTGTGTCACTTGCACCAACTGAAATGTGTCATTTCCTGCTGTTCTGGGTTCAGAGCCTACCAGAACAGCAATGTTAGCGGTCACTCGGAACATGTCTGTAAGGGAGATCAGAGATTAGTTTTGCCATTACATTTTGATTATACACATCTTGAAATACTATCTCTGCCAATCAGTGCTCACAAGGCATGGCCTGTTAGCAAGCTACTAGGATAGCACTTGTAAAAAGGTGCATGGGGCTATGGACTCAGTGATAGAATGCTTAACTAGTGTATGCAAACGAGGTCCTGGGTCCTTGCCCCTGTGAAACACACACACACACACAGGCTGAGAGAGAAGGGGAGACAGAGAGAGAGAGAGAGAGAGAGAGAGAGAGAGAGAGAGAGAGAGAGAGAGAGAGAGAGAGAGAGAGAGACTATTTTGGAAGGAAGGAAGAAAGGAAGGAAGGAAGATCTGCAGAGGAAGGAACATCCATTAGGGAAGGAAGATAGGTTGATGTATACAGTTTTTTTTTAAAGCAGCTAGAGGGCTGGAGATATGGCTTGGCAGTTAATAATGCTTGCTGCTCTTGCAGAAGGCTCAGATTCAGTTCTTAGCATCTACCGTGGGTGGCTCATAACTGCCCTCAACTCCAACTCCAGGGAATCCGATACATTCTTCAGCCTCCTCTGATACCTAGACTCATGTGCACACACCCCACACAGACATACACTCATACACATAACTAAAAAATAAAATGCGTGTTTTAAAAACGGTTATTATAATTTTAATCTAATATATCAATGTATGTCACAATATATCACATACCTTAATGTATACATAATGACTTATAATGTATATGCAATATATTTATAGTATGTATATTGTATATATATTCTAATAATGTGTAATAAGAGTAATACGACATTTCAAAACTGTATGAGTTTCCTTTGTGTGTTTATACACATTTAAATGCTGCATCGTGTTTTCATGCATACAAAATCACCCCTCTGAGAAAGAGTTTAGAGATTTTGCTAGACTGTTGGAGAGCTTTAGCTATCACCTGGCACCGGGTAATTAATAAATATTTATAGAAGCATTCAGAAGGAGAGCACTTCTCTTTAGGATTTAAGATGTCATCCTATGAAGTATCTCCTGTCGTGAGCTCCAGCACAACACCTGTCATCTTCCATGCCCTCTGGGCACTCCTCTGTAGACCACTCCTCCTGCCTCCAAAACCCCAGCACACCCTGAGCACCAACCCTTGCATCTAGAGGTTGCTCTGGTGGGCTTCCTGCCTCCCTGGCTGTGCGTGAAGGATCTCTCCATTAGCTGAATACGCCTTCATTTTCTAAGTCTCAACCTGTGCTTTCCCTTCCTGTGTTTGCATGACAGTTGTGCTTTACTTGGAACACGTTCCGCTTGCCTTCTTCTGTGAGTTGGAATCACTGATCTTGAACCTGTCTGTTTTATTCAGTGTGATTTACTTATAGGCCATAAATCTTCCACCCCACACCGAATACACCATTAATTTTCAGAAGAAAACCGCGGCGTGTCTTACATCTTTATATCATGTACCAGGCTCATGTTAGAAATGCTGAATAATTTGGTTTTTGGTAAAAAGGACCGAGCTGTTTTAGCCTCATCTCACCAAGGTATGCAAGTGGAAACCAGAGCTCTCTTGCATATATCTATTAAGTAGGCCAACAGAGGCCTGAATGGAAGTAGCAATAGACATGTGGGACAATGGGTGGATGTTGGCAATGTGATCCATGAGGAAGAAAACTAGTACTATGATGGGGTTTGGAAAACAATGCTGCCTGCAGAAATTAAGATAAATGTCTGTAGAGAAATGAAAACACTCTGGTAGAGCATGGCCAACATCATCAGATTAGGACTGTTGCTGATGGTGGTAGTGGGAAGGATGGGACCCAGGCGTTGTGAGAATGGGGGATCAGTGAGTAAGGAGTAAACCAAAGGAAGAAATAAATAGGATGTGAGTTCACATACATATACATGTTGATGAGCCAGGAAGTGAACGGTGTCGTGAGCTTGTATTTCAGCCTTTGTTTTACCTGCATTGAAAGAGATGGCCCATATCCAAAAAGTCTAACAGAAACCAGGTGGTGAAACTTAAGACTGTTTTGCTTGCCACCCCTATACCCCTGACGCCCCCACTTCCTAGCTGGGGTCAACGCCACTCGCATGGAGTGGTTCTCTGTTTTCATATTATGGGGATCTGTCTCATGAACTTACCATTTTCCTTGTACTCCTTTGTGCAAAATACTAATTTTCTTCCCCATGAACCACATGTGGGGAACAATACCCACCTGAATATACTCCCTGTTCCCTACATGGCACAGATCTGCAGGAAACAGACTGTGAATATTTGTTGATGGGTTAAAAGTAAGCAAGTTGCAGTAGACTCAAGTCAATAGAACTCAAAGAAAGCATTTTCAACAAATGGTGCTGGAGTAACTGGTTGAAGGCATGTAAAAGACAACAGATAGATCCATATCTATCACCATGCACAAAACTTAAGTCCAAATAGATCAAAGACCTCAACATCAATCCAGCCACACTGAATCTCTTAGAGGAGAAAGTGGGAGGCACCCTGGAATGAATTGGTACAGGAGACTGCTTCCTGAACATAACACCAGTAGCACAGACACTGAGATTGACAATAAATGGGACTTCCTGAAACCAAGGAGCTTCTGCAGGGCAAAGGACACAGTCAACAAGACAAAATGTCAGTCCACAGAATGGGAAAAGATATTCACAAACCCCACATCTGACAGAGGGCTGATCTTCAAAATTTACAAAGAACTCAAGAAGCAAGACTCCAGAACACCAAAGGATCCAATTAAGAAATGGGGTACAGAACTAAATAGAGAATTCTCAATAGAGGAGTCCAAAATGGCCAAGAGACACTTGAGAAAGTGCTCAACATCTTTAGCCATTAGGGAAATGAAAATTAAAACACCATCTCACTCTCATCACAATGGCTAAAATCAAAGACACTAATGACAGTTTATGCTGGAGAGGATGTTGAGAAAGGGGAACATTCCTCCATTGCTGGTGGGAATGTCAACTAGTGCAGCCACTTTGGAGATCAGTAAGGAGATCCCTCAGAAAAATGGAAATCAGTCTACCAGAAGATCCAGCAATTCCACTCTTAGGCATATACCCAAAAGATGTGCCCTCATATAAAAAGAACATCTGCCCAACTATGTTCATAGCAGCATTATTTGTAATTGCCAGAACCTGAAAAGAACCTAGATGCCCCTCAACTGAAGAGTGGATAGAGAAAATGTGGTACATCTACACAATGGAGTACTACTCGGCAGAAAAAAAATGGAATCTTGAAATTTACAGGCAAATGGATGGCACTGGAAGAAACCATCCTGAGTGAGGTAACCCAGTCACAAAAAGACAAGCATGGTATGTACTCACTCGTATATGGATTTTAGACATGGAGCAGGGCATTGCCAGCCCACAATCCCACCTCCAGAGAGTCTGGTGTGCAGGGAGGACCCTAAGAGAGATATGCATGGTAACCCAGAGAAGGGTTAGGGAATGCGATCTCCTAATTGGATTATAGACAGAGAGGGGGAGAGTAGAAGGAGATGGGAGAAAGAGAGAAAGAAACGAGGAGGGGAGATGAGGACATGGGAGAGCAGGAAGGTTGAGCCAGGGTAAGAATAGAGGAGAAAAGGATGGGAGATACCAGAAAAGAGGGAGCCAGTATAAGTTGGAGGAGAGATCTGGCACTAGTGAGATCTTTACACAATCTACAAGAATGACACCAACTGGCATTAAGGCTACCTTAAATGCCCTCCCATGATAATAAGAATGATGACTACCTTACATGCCATCCTAGAACTCTCATCGAATGGCTGATGGAGAAAGAGGCAGACACCCACAGGTATGAACCTAATTGAACTCCTGGAACCCAGTTGCAAAGAAGAGTGATGACCAAAGGAATCAAGATCAGGCTGGCGAAACTCAAAGAGGCAGCTGACCTAAACAAGGGTGAACACATGGACCCCAGACTGATGACTGAGGGGCCAGCATGGGACTGATCCAGACACTTTCCCACCGAACCTGGGTGACAGAGAGGAGGCCTTGGCAATCTGTGGGACCTGGGAGAGTGGAGCAGTATTTATTCCTGGCATACAGAGGGACTCTGGGAACCCATACCACGTGGAGTGATGCTCTCTCAGCCTGGACACATGAGGAAGAACCTGAGCCCTTCCAGGGATGATGTGACAGACCCTGAAAATCCCTCAAGGAGGCTCTTGCCTTCCCTGGGGAGTGGAGGGGGAGTTGAGTGGGGGTGATGGGTTGGGAAGACTGGGGGTTGGGGGAGGAGGGGAGGGAGAAGGAACTGAAAGTGGCATGCGTAAAAAGTTAAATAAAAAAATATATGGAAAAAATAGAACTCATCCATCTTCATCAAAGATGGTCCTGATGAAGAATCTCCCCTCTTTTCTCTTGTCCGTCTGTCTGTTCATCCGTCCATCCCCCCTCTGTCTCTCTGTCTGTCTCTGTCTCTGTCTCTGTCTCTCTCTCTATCTCTCTATCTCTCTCTCTCTCTCACACACACACACACACAGCAGCAGCAGCAGCAGCACAAGAATCAGAGTGAGGTGTTGGTGGACATTTCACACCACAAGGCACACTCCAGGCACACCCAGAGACTCCTAGTCCCTATTTTCTTCTCTCACTTGACCATGTCCCAAGCAGAACTCCTTGAAGATATCTCTGTCTGAAGGCCATCTCTTTAGATGTCAAGGTGGCCTAGCAGCTTCAGTTCTGCCCTGCTTGTGGAAGATAAGTTATCAAGGAATTCAAAGGCAGTTAGTGCAAAGCTTCGTCTGTGGTAAATGTATTTGCCTTCACTCTTTAATCTGAATACACTTATCAGGCTAACAGAAACAGCAGCCTTAGGGTTGGAGCCTTGGCTGATTAACAATGGTTTTACAAAAGGGTGTGTTAAGTTTGTGTCTTTTCAGTAACTGAAATCCCCTTAACTGCTACAAAACATCTCCTAACCTTGAAACCATTTAATCCTGCCTTCTTAAAGCTACAGGACTTCAGATGAGTTAAATAGTTCATCAGTATTTACTGAATTCATTAATCCTGGGGATATTACATATTTTAAAAAATAAAAAAGGCGCCATGGTACATCTGCACATGGCATTTATTTCAAATGTGCAGCTATGCTTTTCCCATCTATTTAAAGAAAGATGTCTAGCAATTATAATAACTTGACTCAAGAATCAAATATTTAGGGCAACAAACTGTGTCTATTTCAGGCATTGCAGCTGACGTACATTCTTGGGACCTACAGGATAAACACAGTATTTCATTTCATGTTCCTAAAAAGGGAAATAGCCATGAGCAAAATGAAAAGGCTTTGTTTCCACACATGTGTGCAGCTAGCTAGAGTCTGGATGCTGAGCCAGGCTGTTAATACAGGTCTGACACAGCCTATGATTGAAGACATTTAAGAGGTTAACGTATTTCAGTCTCACACAGTGACTGAAAGGGATATATGTCTATAGAAGTCATCGTACATTAGCAGAGCCTGTAATTATTATCCTAATGGATCTTATCAAAACCAGCAAGAGCTAGGCAAGAAATGGATAATTACAGGGTGATCACAGGGAGATGTGTTTTCTCTCCCCTAAAGCTTTCCATCAGCATAATGACCAAAGTATCTGGGACCCATTTGGAGGTGCATTAACCAGACAATGCGACTGCTATGTCACTGATTTAATTAGCTCTGTCCACCAAAGATGAGTGTAATCCAGATTCCCCTCCCCCACCTCCCTTCCTCATAGAAACTGTTCTTCCCTCTGGCTGACAGCCATTCCTCCCTTTAGATTAACCTTTGAAAGGTCATCATTTCAAAGATATTTTGAATAACTTTCTCAAATGAGTATATAATGTTTCATTCATCCAACCACCCATCCATTCATCTAACCCTCATCCATCCATCCATCTTCTCTTCATGCATCTATCCAACTATATCCATCCATCCACTCATCTATCTGCCATCCACTCATCCATCCAATCTTTATCTATTCATCTATTTATCCAATCTTTATCCATCCATCCATGCATCCAATTATAGTCATCCATCTATCTATCCAACAATCCATTCATCCCTAGACCTAATTTCCTATGTATTTACAAAATGTATCTAAGACATCAGTAAAACAAACAGTTAAATACAGTTAGGTATTATAAAAACAATCAAACAAAGTAAAACATAAAGCAAGAAAGAGAAACAATGTTTGTGAGAGAAAGACAAACATAGTAGAGTAGAGTAAGTATACATACAGTAAGTATAAATGAAAAAAACTACCTGGTCCTATAGGGTATTTGAGGGTGTCTTTGACTTGGTTTCTTTTCTTCCTATATATCCAAAGAAAGAAAAATATATTCATTTAATATGTGTGTTACATATGTCTCTCTCTCTCTCTCTCTCTCTCTCTCTCTCTCCACACACACACACACACACACACACACACACACACACATATACACATACATAATCACTTTCAAATTAACTGGACTAAACACAAATACAACTATTTTATTTTCTGAATCAAATACTATTCACTTAAGGTCTTCCTAAAAGGACCACTGACATGATGTAGATGTCACTGTCCATGGCTGTCCCACCCTGTCACAAGGACACATATCTTGTGGCTGCTTCTTCTAATCCTCCTTGGTGAAGCCTGCAGCCTAACACCCAGGTGAAAATGAACAAAGGCAATCAGATTTACCACCTAAATGAATACCTCTTAGCACTTTTTGCTATTACTATGACTTAAGCAGAAATCCTGAGCTCCATATAACCAATTTGTTTTTTTACCGTGATATTAAAGTCAGTTATCAGAGACAATAAAGGGAGTTGAGTCACCTTGTGAATCCATGGAAATGAATGCCTGACAGTTTAATGTTTCTCAAACAAATTAATCCATGGTTATTTAGACATTGTGCTCTCTCAGAGTAACCAGTGGTTTAGAAACCGGGTAAAAATCCTCCATGGAGAAGCCCTGGAGAGGTAGCCAGGCTCTGCCACTTGCTTACAATGCCTACTTGTGCAAGAGTGCTGTGGTGACTGAATTTATGTCAGCTTGTCTAGGTCATGGCATCTGGATATGTCACTGACAATTATTCTGAATTATTTTGAAATATGTGTGACTTGGTTTAGGGTGGGATTTGTATTAAAATCAGTGAGCATTGACGAGAGATGGTGGTCCTCCAGACAGGAGTGGGCTTCATACAGTTAGGTAGAAAGAAAGATTTCACTTTCCTTTTCCCAGCAAAAGGAATAATGAGCAAACTGCTTCAGACTTTAACCACAGCTGCCCTCAGTTTTTAGCATGCTGGCTTCCCCATCTGCTTTGAACTCACTAAGTCTCTACAATCACCACAACCAATTTGTTGAAATAAACTCACATTGTAGACATAGACACCAGTTCTGTCCCATCCTGGAGAACTACAATGAACACAAATGCATCTACCTGCTGGTCACTAGAATCGTGGCTACACTTCTCAGAGTCACTTGGTGGTCGTTCTAGCCCTGACCCTTTCAGAATTGCACCTTAGTCACCACACTACCTGCCACCACCTCCGTTGTCTGTGTTTCCCTCGAAGCCTGCCTTGGGTGTGTGGCAGGTCTGCTGGAAGCATGGGCCCAGCTTGGCCCTGGAAAACCCAGCTCTGGTGACCTTGATGACCAATCAACTGGCCTTGCTCCTGTTTTCTTGCTCTGAAGAGAGCTAAGGCTGTTGTGTCAAGGCAGACCCGAGTAGGCTTTTCATAAGGACACAGAGTAACCTCTCAGAAGGAATAAGCAGGACCTGGCAGGGTGGGGGGTATCGGGCCACACCAGGGGATGTTTAAGCAGATGGAGAATAAGCAGTGGAGGGCCATATGTTCCCCCCCACCAAGATAATTGGTGCTGGTTAAGAATATGAAACACAAACAACACTCTGGAATTTTCCAGGTCACATGGATATCAACTCCTCTCTGATACGGAATTAGATTTTTATATCTAGCAAAATGTAGACTGTCTCTTTGTCTGCTTACAGAAAACAGCCACAGCCTTGATTCTTTTTATTTTGTAGGCTGAAATTTATATTTGCTGCCAAATTTAGTGTTTCAGAGCACATGGTGAAATGTCTACTGTTGGTAAATTATATAAAATATTAAATGAGCATAATAAAGTAAGATGCTTGGGTGTGGTTGGTAAATGCAGAACATAGCTGATTGGCAATAACAGGAAAAATGTGGATTTAGTGTCACACAGACTGGAGTTCAGTCCCAGGTGTGGGACCTGTGCAGGGAACTTTAGACAGGTTCAGAAACTGTCTTAGGTTATACACTTCTTTGTGAAGTAGGAGGAGGTCTGTTGGCTGAACAAGAAGGATTTTGGTTTTTTTTCATATAAATCAACTTTTTATTTTACTTTTAAGTGTGTATGTGTGCTCTCAGGTGCCTGTGAAGGTCAGAAAAAAGGCATCAGATCCACAGGAACTGGATTTTGAGGAAGCTGGGAGCAGCCCCATAGGTGCTGGGAATCAAACTTGGGTCAGCTTTAAGAGGGACACAGAAAAGGTTAAGCCACCTCTCCAGCCCCTTTGAAATCAACTCAGCAGTTAACTCATAGATCTACTTTCTAACCAAAGAGGGTGTCTCCCTCCATTCTTGGGGCCTCCCTCCTTCATTCTGTCTCACAGGTTACACCACTTCTCACTGACAAAGGAGGGCTGGAAGAAAGCACTCAAGAACAAAAGCGCTCTTGTTGGGGGTGATGAAACCGGGCACCATGAATTCTTAATTCTTTCCCACTTTCTGTAATATTGCGTCATTTATTCAGTAGAAAACTCCATGTTGGAAAGTAATCCACACCCTTCCTCAGGCTCAGCTGTGCAAAGAGTAAACAGGGGGATGTGCCAGAGGTATTCAGTTCTTGTCTCTCTGTGTTCCTGCTGCTACCTTTGCACAGGGAGCAAAGGACTGCACTGGAGTCCTAGCAGTTTCTCCTTTGTTAATCTCAACCTGCCCAAGCCATTGCAACTTTCCTACTCTTTGAGTATCTTTCTGAGCTACTGTCAAGAGCATTTTCCCCCTTTAACAGGCTTGCAAGATTGCTAGACACACACAAGGATAAAGAGAGATTCTAGTTTCCCAATACTTGTTTTGCTTAGTCTGTTTAGAAAAAAAATTGCATCATATCCCATTTGATAATTGTGCAATGCAGGGTGGATACCTAAACTGGAAGTTAAGTAAGGCTGAGCTCTAGGCACCTTTACAATTGAGACATCTATTTATACTCAAGTGGAAAATATTCAGTTGTTCTCGATTTAAAAAAATGGGTAGAAAGCCAATGAAAACAAGCATGGTTATTCTTTGCATATAGAGAATGCACAATGGAAAATTTTCATTATCATCTGCTCAGGTGAGGAAAATGAAGTGTGGGTCCTCTGGAATCTAGAGTCCCAAGGCATTGTTAATCCACCCAGGAGCCTCCATCAGTACAAAAAGCACCAATGATGAAATTGCTTAGCGTGGGTTCAGATTTCAATTCTGACATGCGCTGGTTATGTGAATTGAAGGAAATTACTCAATGTAATTTCCCTCATCTTTATGATGGGAACTAAACTCCTGGTGTCAGGCACTATGAGAAGAGCCTTAAGGAGCAGAGGCAGGAGCCGGGCACATGATAGGTGGTCCATATACATGGGTTCCCTTCCCCTTCTCACTGTCCTCTCTGTGAAACTGCTTTCTTACTTCATGCTTATGTATTGAACCCTGTTCTGCCTCAGCACCCTCAGTAGTCCTGGTATGGCGGCTGTGTGCATCCTGCAGAGTACACAAAGCAAACATCAGGGAAGGAGCTGGCTACAATGAAGGAACAGATTCTGATGAACGTGGGGCAGGGGTGTTCACGGTGCCTGCATAGAGTGGGGGCATTGAGAGAGACAGAAGGAGGAACTCTTCAAAACTTGGAGATACCAACAGCCATGTTTGAACCATGAAGGCCCCTGTCCCTGACAATAGAGCAGCCTGCACAGTCAGTTTGTACTGATGCTTCTTTACTTGGTACTTGTTTCAGTAAGGGTTTCTGTTGCTGTGAAGAGATACCATGATCACAGCAACTCTTACAAAGGAAAACATTTCATTGGGGGCTGACTTACAGTTCAGAGGTTCAGTCCATTATGGTCGTAGTGGGACATGGTGGTGTGCAGGCAGACACGGTGCTGGAGAAGGAACTGAGAATCCTACATCTTGATCTACAGGCAGCAGAAGGAACACTGAGAAACACTGGCCAGGCTTGAGCTTATAAGACCTCAAAGCCTGCCCCAACAGTGACACACTTCCTCCAGAAATGCCATATTTACTCCAACAAGGCCACACCTCCTAATAGTGCCACTCCTTATAGGCCAAGCATTCAAACACATGAGTCTATGGGAGCCATGCCTATTCAAACTACAACAGATGGGTTATCATTGGTTCCTTATAAACCTCCATTTTCTCAACCTACAAAATATGACTGACATGCTGTGTTCCTTGACCCTGTGTTCTGAGGGACAGATGGGCAGTATCGGGGAACAGTGTGGGGCCATGGAAGCTTGTTAAAATACAGTGTGTCACGCATGAAATCCTATGTAGCTGTGACGTTGTTCTGCTTTATCATCACATGCTCGATGTAGGAGGGAGCAGATTTGAATTGAAGGACCCCATGTGTTGTGCAGACTCCAAATGGGCTCGTTGAAGAAAACAGGAGCTGATTTTGTTTAACATGTAGAAAAGACAAACAAAAAACCTGATGTCTATCCTGAGAGTCCCTGTGGGTATCCAGAGCACATAGTTCAACTGAAAACTACACCCTCATCCAGTACCATGCCTGGCACACTCACAACTGTCCGTACACATCTCAAACGGCTAGAGAACCAACAGCACACTGTTTAATAAGTGAGATGAAGATTTACCCTGCAAATCCAAGTCAAGAGCATTGCTACAGGCTAGCCCTCTTTTCTTTATTTTCTAAATTCTAGCTCAGAGACAGACACAACTTTTAAAATTGCTGTCACAGAACAAAAAAGACCTGGGTAGAAGACTTCATGAAAATAATCCTGACATCTGGAAATGTGAATGCTGCATTAATCCAGCAACCATGGTTCCTAGAACAATTGTGGGCTAGTGAGCTCACCAGGATACACTGGGTAGGTCTGTGCCCATGACTGTATAGACATCTCTGGTGAGACTCAATGGACTGTAAAACAAAACAAAAAGACATGAACACAGGAAAGGGACCCCAGGGAAGGAGGAGGCTGACAATGCTGGGCGAAATGGGGGAGGGGTGGAGTAGTCAGAAGGCATTATACATGTATATGAAATTGTCAAATAACATATCTTATGGAGTGGTGACAGAATAAATACCTGGCATTGAACATGTAGCCTGAATATCTATGATACAATTTTTAGATGAAAGAAGTTTCTGATTAGAGTACTGATCACCTATGTTTTTTCCGGTAATGAGTATTAAGTTCTACTACACATGACTCTACTATTCATAAATACTTGCCCTTTCCTCCTTACCATTAATTTCTTTAGTGAATCTTTTAAATCTTTTAGTACCTCCTTAATATTTATTATTACTTTGGCCCTCATTGCTCTGCTTTGTCCATTAGGGTAACGTCCTGTGACTTTTTGTGTTCCTTTGATACTTGATCCTCTGTGAGTGTGTGTGTGTGTGTGTGTGTGTGTGTGTGTGTGTGGGCGTGTGTGTACATATATATTGCGTGTACATATATATGTGTGTGTGTGTGTGTGTGTGTGTGTGTGTATTAAGCATTTATTTACCTTTTGTTCCCACAGGATGCCCCGAGCTCATTTTGCATTTTCCCTCCTCCAACTCAACAATCACTCAGTCCTGTAAAAAGCCCTGACTTATTGAGGAATCCTATTAGGGACTAAAATCTGTGTTCATTCAACTTGTATGCCAGCATTTCTATGCCTTGTCTGCAAATAAGTAAATATAAACATGTAAGCATGTGTTTTCATAAGCATATCTCTAAATATTTCAACATCAAACAACTGTGTCGATATTAAACTAAGAATATATTTGTCCCAGTGCCTACAAGATGAATCTATTGCTGTATGCTTTATTCAAGTCCTCCACTTAGCTTATCTGTACACCCACACTGCAATAGCCCAGACCTGGCTCCTAACACCCACACCGCATCTACTAACTCTTCAGTTTGTTTACAGTATGCCCACATATTTGTGTGTGTGTGTGCAGTTACACAGCTGAATTAATAACTGGCAACTTCATTGACACAACCTATCAATGAGGGCACAGTCTTTCTGCATCTTGCTCTGACCCTTAGACCACTGTCCCCACTTATTTCTCCACCCAATAGGGCAGCACCTTCCTCATGCCCATCACAGCCTCTGTGACTTATTTAAAACACTTGAAAGATAACTGGACTATTTCGTCATCTCATGGAAACCTCAGATGCTGAATGAAGCTCCTATATGACTTTAAAGATTTCATTTCTCAGTTCATTCTTTATGCTGTAATTGTTGATGGGGTTTGACAAGGTTAATGTCATATACCTACCAGCATCTTGTCATATTGGACAATTTTAGCAACCTGGAATATACATGTGCTTAATTTCTTCAAGTTTCCTCCCTGTCCCATGCCCCAAAACACCAACCTCCCACAATCCCTGTTCATTCAGTCCACCTATTCTATATCTAAGTCACTATCCTCCCCACAACAACATTTTATAGAATGGTATATTCATTCAGACTGAAGTTTTAAATTGGTTCTATATGCTCAGTAGAGCAATAATGCTATTCCCCAAGCAAAGATATTATTCCCAGTGTTAAAAGATATGGATAATCCCTTACATACTAAGGGAAATAAGCTATGTTGAACATACTAACATTTACTAATATGTACTCATTAGTACAGATCTTAGGGCCAATATTTAATTACAAGTTAAAAGTCTTATGAATGTTGGGTTATGCACCTTGATGCAGTTGAGATGTTTTCTTAAACACTTGCAGGTCAAACAAAATTTGTAAGAAATAACATAGCCAAAGAATTTTCAGTATTTGTGTGCAGCCTCTTTAACTGTTTTAGAAAACCCTTGATGTCTTCTATAAGTAAAGCCTTGAATTTTGAAACTTCATGAAGAGTGATGTAAAAATTGTAAACCCTGTTTGTCTATCAGATTAGTATAAAATTCTTTACTAAAAAAGGTCCACATTAATTGAGGCAAAATATTAACTGATAAAAGATTATAAATCTTTTTAAATATTACATTGATTGATTGTGTTCATATTTGCACATGTGGCATGACCTGTCAACAGAAGCAGAGGACACCCTGTGGGAGTCAATTTTTTCCTTCCATTATATGGTCCTGAAAACTCGGGTTATCAGTCTTGGTGGCAAATGCCTTTACCCACTGAGCTGTAAAAGAATTTTGAGAGATCTTAGATAACATATATCAACATGCTTGAGTGTATTGACTTACAGGTTTCATTTTGGTGTTCTGAAAGTGTTTGGAGCTGTAGAAGGGTCATAAAAAAGAATAGTGTTCACGACAACAATATTAAAGTTGTTGCCCATGAAGCATCTGTAACAGTTGGGGCAAATTTTATTCATTATAAATGCACTGTTATTACACTTAGTTTTGAACTAACTTTATACTTGCAACATTTGTGAAGAGAGAAAGTTCTGAAACACATGTCAATTAGTATTTCCCAGTGTGAGCATCTTTACAGGGCCAGGGTACTATGGACCAGAGAATGCACATTGCTGCGACATGAGGTTCTAAATGTCAGGGTGCAGCTCATCCACCCATGCCTCCATGATCTCTGACTCCCACAGAGCCTTCTCCTCAGTCTCACCTGTAAAGCAAAGCTCCTCAGTTTTTACTTGACTCTTAGGATGATGGGGAATAGCTATGGTTATTTCTGGAGGAGCAAGCAAACTGAGCTGTATACAAGCAGATGCATATACACACTGCTATCAAGCACACACAGATACAGCAGGAAAAATACTTGAGAGATAGTCAATATTTCATCTTCTCTTCAGATGAGGGGTGATAGACAGCTTCACATGCTTTCTATTTGAGATGACTTTTCAAAATTAGTTATCCAATTTTCAAAATGGAGAGAAAGAAAAGAAAACAATCGGTTCTCAAAGCTGTGGGCTTATTAAACCGGATATATTACTCTTTCATTTACTCTGACTAAATGCTACTTCTCAGTGGCATGTGAATATGTGTGTATTCCTTCTTATATTAAGTCTGATCCAGAGAGGATTCTTCCTGCTCTCTCTTCCCCTTTCATTTTTTCTCATTCCTCCCTTTTTCTTTTTTCCTCTTCCTCCCTCCTTTCTTCTTTCCTTATTATTTATCCTTCTTTCTATTAACATCTAGCCTAACAAACATGGAGGGCTGCCTAAATGTGAGTGGACAGAGGCATCATACACTGTCATCTTACCTAGAGGGGTTCCCAACTTGAATGCTCACTACAAAGGCAGAGCAGGAACCCATTGGAACTGCACTTCCTTGAAGGCCAAGCCACAAGGAGGTGTGATACTCACTCTTGTTGTACCAAACCTACCCAGGCAAGTTTAATGCAGTCCCACTGTGCCCTTCAGAGCACATCATGAAAAAAATAACCCAGCTGTAGTTATCCTTCTAGTTGGACGGATCTAGAAATGAGAGCCCAACATTTCTGACCACTGATATGAGTGTATTTAGGGTTACCACATGCTTGGCTGATTTAACATACTGGCTATTTCTGTCACCTCTACCTGATCATCAAAATGAGTGACAGAAAAAAAAACCCATAAGACTTTCTTAGTTTTTCAGGATGTACGGATGTCACATTGTGATTCCAATGGAAGGGGCTCCCTGGCAGAGCTGGAGAAGGGAGCTATGTCCAGGAAGGACCCTAGAACAGAAGGCATCAGGGGAGACTGCCTGGTGACATGGAGCTTGTGGAGCCTGGGTTGAACTCTCCATATACCTATGTCAAGCGCATTTGGGGTGCATTCTGCACCCACTGTGTTGTCTTTCTTGGTGCTAAACCTGTCTCAGCCTTGCAGAAACCCAGCACATTACACAAGAGAAATTTGCATTCTCATGGATGGTATGGGACTCCAGATTTTACCCTCCTTACAGCAATAATAGCAATTCCTGCCTAGGAAAGTTCCTGGGACCAGGTTAATCACAGGGGAAGCACTGGGCACAACCCTCAAGGCCCAGCAACACCAGGGGGAGGAGAGGGGATATTATGCCCAGATCCTCAGCAGTGCCACTTGTGACACTTCAATTCAGATGGCATTGGTTCAGCTTCCTTTTCTTCCTTTCCTTTCCTTTCCTTTCCTTTCCTTTCCTTTCCTTTCCTTTCCTTTCCTTTCCTTTCCTTCCCTTCCCTTCCCTTCCCTTCCCTTTCCTTTCCTTTCTTTTCATTTCCTTTTCTTCATTTTAAATCTGG